TTAGTCGATGTAACGGATGAGTCCAGATGAACAAAAAAAATCCAGCTCGCAATTATACAGTCATCCAAAAATATAATTGCTCTAGTTCCGGCCAGAACCGGCCCGAATCCGCTCGCCAACACTCCCGACGAAAACCACGAAAACCTCCACACGCAGTGGAAACGCGGATCCGCGGACCCACGACCATTAACGCCCCGGCCGAAACACGGCAAAACACGCACGGCCAGATCTGGCCCGGATAACCCGCTCGCGATCGCCACCACCCGGCACGGATGCGTCGCATATACGTATGACAACCGACGCCGGTCGAGATAAAACCCGAAACGCGATGGAAACGCGGATCCACGGGCGCGCGACCGAAACTCTTTAGTCGATTGCTGCACACACACAGGACACAGGACGATGGGACTGCACGACTTAACGAGACGCGAGCGTCGCGAGCGCGAGAACAACAACGTTTCCCGCGCGGTTAGAGCGAGCTTCTAGGAGAGAGCTAGAGAGGCGCTCATTGGTCACGTGACGTTACTCCAGTCAATCAGAGAGTGGCGCGTTGGTGCTACTCCCTCCTATAGGCTCTTTACGCGCGGTAAAAGGGCGCGACGCCAGTGTAGACAATCAAATATTAATAACCAGCATTAATTAGCTAATAATGACGCCCGCGAAAAAATCAATCACTATAACGTACAGCATTCCGTAAAAGTCTAATTTTAATTAAAGATTAATTAATATCAATTATTGTGTACATATAATTATATTTAGCAGCAGCAGAGCGAAGTAGCCGCCTGCACGTCCCGATATCGACGTCGTATTGATGTCGATTAGACGTCTTTTCAAATTCATTACGTGTCATTTACTTAGACGTCTATTAGATGTTTATTAGATGTCGAAAAGTAAATTGAGCTCAAAAAAGTGTTTTATGAACAATGCACCGTTATTGTGTGAATATTAGGTTTGAACTGTCTCTAAGAAAACGCAGTGGCATAAAATCACATAACGTCTAATTAAGATATTTCTAGACGTTGTTTTAGATTAGATGGCTCCGACATCTAATAGACGTCTATCCGATCTCGCGTTTCTCCCTGGGATAAGTGAAATATATAAAGTATTAACCACAGAGAGCTGATGTCGAGAAGATCTTTAAAAGAAGAAAAGTATATCCAAAATTGCACACGTACGTATATGCTGTCTTGTAAAAGTTGTCGAACTATATGTTTACGCGAGTGAGCACATCTGTAGTAACTTACAGTAATTCATATTAAGCTACGTCGTCGTCTTTCAATCAGAAAAACGTAACCTTCACTACTTTCAACGGTGGCTCTTGATTTCCGATCATAATAGTTACTATAAAATCTCCCGTTTACGCGGAGGAATTATCGTATCGTAAGTTACTACAGAAGTAACGTTTGCGTAAATAGGTTATAAAAATAACACGATGTTATATATGCGGTTTGCCGTGAATATATATATATATATATATATAT